TAGTATAGAGTTTTCCTTTATTTCTTATTTAAACAAGGAGTAATTTATTATACTATTAGTTTCTAGATCTACCCTTGTATAGTAATAGGTAATAATTTATGTTAATATATAGTAATTTATAGTAACTTTATATTGTTACTAGTCATATTGCATTTTAGTGAGAAATCACATTCTATCATGTGCTGATTTTTAGGAATTTATTAAAGCTTCCTTTGTAGCTTACTACATAATTTTTAAAACTGTTCTTATAAGCTAAAAACAAACCATGAGTGTTCTCTTTACCTATAATTACTTTTGTTCCAATATTTGTACCACTATTTTCTTTTTTTTTTTTTTAAGATTTTATTTATTTATTCATAGACACAGAGAGAGAGGCAGAGACACAGGCAGAGGGAGAGGGAGAAGCAGGCTCCATGCAGGGAGCCCGACGCGGGACTCTATCCCAGGTCTCCATGATCACACCCCAGGCTGCAGGTGGCACCAAACTGCTGCGCCACCGGAGCTGCCCTGTACCACTATTTTCAAGTAAATTACTCATTTATCTATTTTTTAAAGATTTTATTTATTAATAAGAGACACAGAGAGAGAGAGAGGCAGAGGGAGAAGCAGGCTTCCTGCGGGGAGCCTGATGCAGGACTCGATCCCAGGACCCTGGGATCACAACTTGAGCTGAAGGCAGACACTCAACCACTGAACCACCCAAGCGCCCCTCTATTTTTTTTTAACTTTAGTTTTACATGCTTTTTTGCTTTATGTATTTGGAAGTTATATGGAAGATATTTCTATAATTATTATAGGTTATTTACATACTTAAGCATTTCTGTCTTATAATTTTTTTCTATACTTTTTTTTCCCTGATATTGAAATTATCATCCTGGAGTTTTTTAGATACATTTCTCTGATACACATTTTTCTGGCTTTTCTTCCCAAATGTTTTCGAAAAGTGTTTTTTAAAAGTGTTTAGTTGACAAGATATTGTTGAGTCTTAATACTTGTTAATGACTAGGTGGAGAATCTCTTTATTTTGCTATGTTAATATAATTTTTGCATTTATTTTAAGTTTTTTTGTTTTGTTTTGTTTTGTTTGAAGTAGGCTCCATGCTTCAATTTGGGGCTTGACCACATGATCCTGAGATTGAGATCTGAGCTGAGATCAAAAGTGAGATGCTCAATTGACTGAGCCACCTAGGTACCCCACATTTATTGTAATTATGGTAATAGTGAGCTAACCCAGGGTTTTAAGTCCAAGTCATGAATATACACTTTTGGAGGTGTGGGGTCATGGCTAGCTTAGACAAAATATGCTTCTCTGAGTTATTTTTTGACTCTTAGCACTATTCTTAGCCTTTTTCACTCTTCCTTTTGTACTAATGGTATCCATTAATATACCTTTAATGCAAGTCTGCATAAAGAACTTCTCAACTGTCCTCCAAATTCTTAAAAAGAGGGACTGTTGTGCTTTATGAATTATTAGGTCACCTAAGATATTATGTGGAATATATTAGATACCTGATAGATATTTTTCAATCGATTCTTAGATGAATGAACATTCCTCGGGCCACTGAGAACAGTCTTGACCATTGACAGACATCATGGAACACTCATTGAATTTAAGAAAGTTGGATCGTGACAGGCCATTAAAACCTTTGCCTTTAAATTATGTGCCTTTTTTGCTTGTTTTCTACACCTCTCAGCCCAATTTGTTTTCTTTTTCCCCTCTGCAGTCAGAGTTTCATCAAAATACTAGGTTCCTTACAGCTCTTGCTTTCTAGTAGGTTAACTTGTTTTCCAGCAGGTTCACTTGTCATTTTAAACCATTATTAAAAAAAAAAAAAAGTGAGTGATTGCTCTAAAAGAGTTTATGAAAAATATCTTGAAGGATTTGACTTCAGTAGCTTCCACTTTGACAAGATTTTCTTAGCATCTGCTAAAGAAGTTTGATAAACAGTATCTCTATTGTGAGCTCACTTAATTTTTAATAAGAGAGCCGGAAGTATCTAATGCCTGAAATAGGAAAGAGATGTGAGGCAATCTATTCATCCCTGATTCATTCCTGATAAGGAAGTAAGAAACAAGAGGGAGGAGGCAGTAGGCTCTGTTTTCCCATATGGAGATTTTGATTGATTTGGGAATGTTCTGGGAAAAGCAGACACCATGAAAGGTCTTGTTATGTCAGCTTTTTGTCCTGCAAAATAGCTCAGTATGCTTTCCTTATTCTAGAAAAGAAGTCCAGTGACCCAGTTATCCCTCAGGCACTATATTCTTTCCCATCTTTCTTCAGTAACTAACATTCATGGAGTAATAGATTTTACTCACTGCTCCCACTTTCTCATAAAACTCTTAAATTTTTTTTTGCAGGGGGTAGAGAATCCAGATTTGACCCTCATCATTCTAATCACATTTGTCTTTGCTACCAATAATGATGGCTCTTTTTTTCAATCACCTTAAAAAAATTTTTTTTTGGTAGCATTTGATACTGTTAAAGAGATCTCAGATGTTTCTTTTGGAATTGAATGATACTGACTTTAGTTTGCTATCCATGACCATCCCTTGCCTGGAAGTCCTTCCAATAATCTCCAAATGCAGGCATTTCTAAAGGTTCTGCTCCTATTTGTTTCCCTCTATATTCTCTCCTTCAGAAATGTTATCTAGTTGTTTGAATCACTTTCTTTATGGCTTTCAATAATGTATCCCCAATTCTAATTTCTCCTTTTTGCTTGATACCTAAATCCCATAACTCAGATATATTAAGATGGAACTTATCAATATTCCCTTCCACATTTACTTCTCATCCTATGTCTTCTTTCTCTGTTAATATTTCAAGTTTGACTCTATTCACCTAAGCTCTGAACTCATCTGCCCCCAGAGACTTCACATGCATTTTGTATTGAAGTAAATGAAAGGTGGTAGATTTTACCATAAAATATGACCCTTTAGCATAAGGATTATTTTGAGCTAAAGGCCCTTGAAAAACAGCAGATGCCAGAAGGGCATTCTAATCTACTGTTTTGCTTTGTTTCTTTTCTTTTCTTTTTTTTTTTTTCTGAAAACAGGAGATAACAACTCCCGTGGAAAACAGGAGATAGAAACCCCCTTTCTACAGCAGGAAAAAAAGAAACATCTTCAATGGGGAATGGAAGCTGAGAGAATTCGGTACAGACCTTGTTAAAACAATTTTTTAGCTTCCTTTAGCTTCCTTGCATAGTTTAGTTACCTTTTCATATTTGCCTCTCCTTGTTCAATCTGATATAAAAACATTTAGGTTTTGCCACTTCTCAGAGTCTTCATTTCATTATGAAGGATTTCATGTTATGTAAAACTTACATTAAATAAATTTGTATCCTTTTCTCCTGTTAGCCTGTCTTATGTCTTTAATTTTCAAGCCCAGTTGAAAAAAGGTAAAAGGGTAAAGATAAAATGTTACTTCCTCTATGGTACCAACCTCTGTGTTTCTACTTTCCACATCATTCCCCTTTAACCCTACTTCTATTCTCTGTTTTGAAATATTATGAAACCTTAAATAACCTTGGTTCACTTGGCTAAAAGAATCTTTAAAGGCATAATATTGAGCAAATCATTCTCTTGCTCTTATATCTTGAACAGTTGCTCTCCTGCCTATTGGATAATATCAGCACATCTGGTTTAGTAATTAGGGTAGCTTTTTGTCTTATACTATTTTGCATATGATTTTTTGCCTGACACCCTTCCATGTACCCAGTTTTGCATCCAAGATATAGAATCGGCCTGTCCTCAAAATGCCTTCATGATATGGCTAAAAAATCTTCACTGTTTGGAATCTTTTGTTGCCTCTCCCCATTTATATTTCTAAATAGCTCCCCCAACTAAAACTACGTTATTTTATTTTATTTTCCTTTGCTCAGTACTTTATTCATGTGTGTGCTTAACATTTAGGAACTACTATAAAAGTAATGCATTTAAATTTAACAAGAAGGAGTTATTGTGAGAGAGATATTTCCACTTCCTTATCTTAAGAGAAACCAGAGGCATGGCCGCATTCCCCCATGAAGTAGGCTCGCCATCTAGTGACAGCTCCATCTCACTACAAACTTTGCCTCTGAGGCCTGCAAATCTGAAGACCTACCTTTAAATTTTCCTCAAGGGATATGTCAACAGACTTTTTTTTCCCCTGATATAACACTGTACCACAAGAAAAAGACTGTCCAGTGCTTACTTTTTTTATGCCATTAAACATTTAAAAACAATTAACTTTGGGTTGATTCCATAGATAAGTTCAAAGAAACAGAAAGACCTGAAATGTTTGTGTTAATCAGTGATGCACACGGATCCACTTTGAAAGATGAAATTTAAAAGAATGCTTCGAAGCTTGGAAAGATCTCTGATAAAGTGTGAGAAGTTTCTCTTCTCCTGAGATAACATGCACAACATACCCAGCAGAGTACACTCTGAATAAACATTAGCAAAATGGTTCAAAGTAAGCATAAGTTTTGGAACCAGATGAGCTGTTGTCACCGCCTCCATAAGTTGGATCACAGTATCCAGGTATTCAAAATGACCGTTTTGACATGTAGAAACATGAGGACAATAATATCTTTTTTTGAGTATTGAAAATAACATGTAAAATGCTTGGTCTATAGCCAGCACTCAAAAAAATGATGGTTTGTTTTTAATGATTATTATTTTTTTTTAGCTTCAGTAATTTGTATAGAGATATATAGCTGTTTGTCAAGCTTAAAAACTGTTATTCCTAGGTCCTCAATTTATGTATCATGGTATAGACTATATGTGTTGCCTAGGTTCTCAATTCATTTATCATAGTATAGACTATATGTGTTTATAGAGATTACTTTCATTACATGATGAAAGATAACATGCCTATTTAGTAAATATCTGACAGAAAGAGATCACAGATTATCTACATTTATCTACAGATAAATTATAAATTATCTACATAATCCATTAAAATTTATATTGACTACACTTTTTAAAGTATTCAGAAAAAGTAAGTTGTCTGTACTTACAACTTTCCAGTTGCATTATACATGTTTGTACATCCATTGGAAAATTCTTGAGATCCATTGGACAAGAAAGTGTTAATGTCAATCTGAAAGAATTCAAAGTAATTATTTTTAAAAATAAATTATGATATCATATTAATATTCTATTGTTCAGGGTACAACTGGAAAACAAGCTTTGGTTAGTGACTAACCACTCTTCAAATAAAATTTACTTCAGCTTGGGTATTTTTTTAACTATGAAACAGCTGTATCTTTATACATAAATTTTCAGGGAGGAGAAAAGCTGTATGTTTAAACATCCAATCACATTTATTTATTTTACTCAACTTTTCATTCCTTTATGGAGGGCTGTAGATGTCTACAAGAGGTCTGTATTTCCAGAAAAGACCCTCAGAAAGAAATTTGTGAGTAGGTTCTATAAAATTAATGCCAAATGCCAAAGGGCACAGTTCCCCAAGATCACATGTACATCATGTTTGAGGAGGCATGTATATCCAGGGAACTGGGAAAGCAGGGTACAGGAATCAATCCTGCATGACAATGTTCAGTCATCTTGAAACATTGAAGAAGTCAGTGAATCAGAGGGGAAAAAAATGGAATCTGAGGGACTTGAAAATTCTAGCTGTTAGAGTGAGGTCCTCTGCTGTAGGACTAGGGTTAAGAAAGAGCCCTCTGGAATATGTGTAACATAATCCTATGCTCACCAAACTTCTAATTTAACTCTACACAAAATAGAATGACCTGGATGGTATGCACCATCATTATGTCCATTTTTCCCTTTCCAGGAAGTATTTGTATGTTGTCATTCCAGATAATTCATAACCCAAATTCATTACTTCATTACTCATAATGCATAACTCATGAAAAAATATTTTTCATTGGAGAAGTATATTACTACCTTGAAAGATTGGCAAGAATTTGTAGTTCTTGAACCTGAGAAAAAGAGGCGCACATCCAAACAAACCCAGGTTCATTAAAATAAATTTCTTATCTGAGAACTCTCCAGCCAGCCCCTCTATTTAAAATATTCCTATTGAAATTCAGCATATCAGTGAGCACCCTAGGTGGGTTTGTTTACCTAGGCTTTGTGATCATAGGTAAATTACTTCACTTCAGTATATTTCAGGTTTCTCATCTCTAAAATGAATACAATAATAGTACTTGCTCCAGAGAAATGTGGTGAACAATATGGGTTAATACATGTAAAGTGCTTAGACAAGAGTCTGACACATGGTAAACGCTCAATAAATATTACTTATTAAGGATTACTAGCATCCTACCTCCCATCTTCCCCACCCCAGAATTACATGGGATGGGCACAAAGATGACAACTAGATCACATACAAAGCTGAAGCACCTGGGAGGTTCAGTTGGTTAAGCATCAGATTCTTGGTTTTGGTTCAGGTCATAATCTTACGGGTCATGGGATTAAGCTCTGCGTTGAGCTCCCCACTCAACGGGGAGACTACTTGAAGATTCTCTCCCTCCGGGCAGCCCGGGTGGCTCAGCGGTTTAATGCCGCCCTCAGCCCAGGGCATGATCCTGGAGACCTGGGATCGAATCCCACCTCAGGCTCCCTGCATGGAGCCTGCTTCTCCATTTGCCTGTGTCTCTGTCTCTCTCTCCTCTCTGTTTCGCATGACTAAATAAATAAAATCTTAAAAAAAAAAAAAGATTCTCTCCCTCTGCCCCAGTCCCCACTCATGCTCTCTCTCTCTCTCTTCCTCTCTCAAAAATCAATAAATAAATATTTAAAAAATATTTTTTAAAAATCACATACAAAGCCTATTTAGTGTTAACAAAAAATAATCAGCACTACTAAAGGTAATCACATTCTCCAAAATAACTTTTTTGTGTAGGCCATAGACATAAAGTTATAATAATTCCTGTTTTACAGTGAATACTCTTGGTGAGGTCCAATTAACATAATTTGAGAGATATAAATGGACAGACATGTGAAGCTGCTGCGTTTTTTAGAGTCCAGGAGGATCACTTGACAATTCCTTCAATTCAGAGTCCATAACACACTAAAATAATTCATATAGTTCATTCTTCAAGAGCAATTTTCTCTTGGCTCAGCTAGCTTAAGTGATTCTGTGAGTATGATCTTGTAGATTTACAAAGTTCTCTCTTAAAAAGGCAACTGTAAAATCAGGTGGACACAATGTTCTCTGTCTTGTGAAAGGGTTTTTTAGAAGTGTATGCACAAGTATATTTTGAACATACGCACATTAATTTTCCAAACATCCAAGGCTCTTGGGACAGCCAGTTTCAAATATTGGCTTGGAGAATTAATTCTGTGACCTTTTGTATGGAAGTGAATAGCATTCTCAGAATCTTTTCCAAGCTCTCACCATGCATGTGATGTCAAATTCATATCCTGGCTATTTTTTTGGCATAAAATGAGAGGCATTACATAATTCTTTTAAAAAGAAGGGCTTGAAAGGAATTATTTGGCAAAGAAAAACACTGTTTGTAGAACTTCTGTCATAAATCATATCCTGAAAAACATCTGTTTATTGACATTCTTTCTTTTGTTTAAAGTACTATACAATTACCTCTTTAACAACATATGGATGAAAAAATACTGTCAACCTGATGGGTGTGATACTGAATTTCTTCATCAAAACATTACATACAAATTAAAGATATGTTTTGACCACATCAAAAGAAAACTAAATCAAAAGACAATTAATCACATTCTACTGTTTTGGAAATGAATATCTTCTTGTGTAAGAGAGGACACTAAGTTCTCTTTCTGAGACAAGACACATAAACAGGATATGGTGTTTTTTATTTTCTCTTAAGAAGTCTTGGCTCAGTGAAGTAGTAATGTTTAAAAAAATGACTATAATCCATGACAAACAGTTGACCTGATTAAAATGGAGGTATTGCCCATTTTTGAACAAGCATTGCCTAGAGTACAGTGTCTGTCTCAACCATTAATTAAGTATATTATAAATATATATATAATATACTTATATAAGTGTGTATATATATATACATATATATATATACACACACACACACACACACTTTTCGGACTGCATTTTTGGCTCTTTATGAAACTGGTAAGTATCTTTATTAGTTCCTAATATTTCTGAATTTAATGTCATAAGAACAATTACCTTTTTTTTTTTTAAGATTCATTTATTTACTTGAGAGAAGGAGCAAGAGCATGAGTGGGAGGGCAGAGAGAATCTCCAGAGAACCTTGAGCTAAGCAGAAGCCCAATGTGAGGCAGGATCCTATGACCCCAAGATTATGACCGAGCCAAAACCAAGAGTCAGATGCTCAATGGACTCTAGCACCCAGGCACTCAGAACAATGACCACTTGACTAATTATCAGCTTTGCAATATTATCTGTAATATCATAATTGGGGTAATACATCCACTGTACTTGTTATGTAGTAGATGCCATTTTAAAACCTTACATATTTCTCAACTCATTTATTCCTTACTACAAATTTATAAGACAGGTAACCTGTATTACCCTATTTTAGAGATGAGGAAACTAAGAGGTCAACTCACCTGGCATTACAAAGCAGAGATTGGTAGAGCTTAATTTGTTATTCTGGGAGTCTAGTTCTAGATTACATACCCTTAACCTGTAACTTTACTGCCTTTCAAAGGCATTAAAACATTTTTCATGAAAATGGGTTTTTTAATTAATATGACTTTTCAAATTTTGTATTTATATAATGTAAGAAATGATATATTTCATTCAGTATTATTACATTTAAAATAAAAGATACATAAGTGATTCTTCCAAAAAAATCAGAAAAATTTTAGAAAATATAAGGAGTTTCTTCATGGATTTTATACATTTTCTCAAGTGATTTGGCATTTTATTAAGATTCTATATTGATCAAAAAAACTCAGGAGAGATTAGATTATTGAAGCACTAGAAGGAAGATTGTAACTAATGTTCTAATCTGGAATTTTGTTGTCATCTGGTTTTAGAGATGATTTTAAAGAATATCAAGCCATCACTAGTGGAATCTTAGTATTGTTGATGGTTCCTTCAAGAAGCTGATGTAAGATAAGGACCTCTTCAGAAAAATATGCATAATCACTCACATGCAAAATTCTCCTTATAACATGTATTTTATGGTACTGTAAATCGATTGCCCCTGAATGAACATTTTAAAAAGCATCTGTTGATAAGCTTGCTTTTCCTATTAAAAATTAACGTTCAAAAAATAAACACATATTGTATAAGTAAGCTTTAATTCTTTTCACAACTGAATTTCAAAGAGTGATTATATTTAGTTTAAATAAAAGTTGAAATTGGTTTATGATCTTTGACAAGTCACTGTGCATAGCATTTCTGATATAAAATTTCTTCCTGTTATTTGTTTTTTTTTTGTTATTTGGTTTTTAATGCAATAATGCTTCTGTAACATAAATAGTAAAGTTGGATATATTAGTAAGTATTATTGGTAGTAGTAAAGTAAGTAGTAGATAATATTAAGCTGCCTCTGATGTGTTTTCATTCTCTTGTGATGAGGATTTTGCCATCCTCACTTTACAAGTGACAAAATGGAGACTTAAGTTGATAACTTGCAAGCATCATACAGTGGTAATTTAAGGATTCTGGAAAATATCAGCACTAATACTTTTTGAGGGGTTTTGTTTTCTTTTGAGGAAAATGCAGATAACAACTTTACTGTTTATTATATGCATGGCACTATGCTGGGTGCTTTTTATACATTATTTCAGGCTCAAAGTAATTAGCATTTTCACTATAATGCATATAAGAAAAATGAGCCTTTCACAAGTAGACTTGCCCAAATCGCAGCTGGTAAATTGTAGAGCCTAAATCTGACTTGGAAAATACAGTGGTCCATGGTCCGCTGTGCATTTTGGTACACAGCTTGCTGGGCGGTGCCAAGACTGTAAGTCCGAAGCTATTTTTTATCTGAGTCATTTCTCAGAGATGTTTATGGAACTGTTAGTTTTGAGAGATGAGATAATGTTCTTCTGGACAAAAAGAAGGTTTGCTTATAGTTTGCTATAAAGGCAGTGGATTCCCCAAACTCAATGCTCCACAGCTGTGACGCAGATCCCCAGTGTATGTTACATCCATCAGGGCCTGATGCATTGTTCCAATGAAACTGGAGGGCATGGAAGAAGTTAGGCAAATTCACTGATGCTTGTGTTGCTTGTTTACAGTAAGTAATACATTCCTTCATCTCTGACCGAGAGTTTTGTATCTTCTGTTAGCATCCATAAAATAAATGAGGCTAATTTTATAAGTAGAGTAAAATGAAATCTCAACTTTGACAATCTAAAAGGCATGTGTCTAGCTCCAAAGCCATCACTTGAAATAGACTTCACTTAAAAATTATGAATATAATTCAAAATATTTTAAAGGTTATTAATATAATTCTAAGTTCAAACACTATAGAAAGCATATAAAAAACAGTCGTATTTTTGCCCTACCCATTCTACCACCAATTCAGTTCTAGCATCTCAGAGGCAGCCTTCTTTAGACACTAAGATTTATAGTCATGTATCTCAATTGCTATTATATTATGTTTGATTTTTTAAGTTTGCAAAATTGTCTATTAATTTCCTACAAGGAAAATGTTTCTTTTATACCACACTCCATGTACTTAACTCTCCTGTAACACTCAAAATTTAGTCACATAAATATTTACAGTTAAATTAATATTCAGCATTTACATGTTACGAATAAGTAATTACTGTTTGTGGTTAAGCATAATAGTTTGGTATAATTATAACTCTCATGTAGCATTTTGTTTTCACTAATAGTACTAATAATTGTTTCATTTTCAGAGTCAACAAATTCCCTACCAGAGCCACAAATTCAACAAACACCCTTTCAGAGCTACAAAGTCCCTCTCAATGATCAATATAGCAGGTAATCTATCAATTCCTTGTTTTTCATGGACACCTCCTTATTTTTCTGTTCTTTCTTTCTAATCAAATATTAAACCTCTGTTTTGATGTTCTTATTTTCATATTCTTTCTCTTCTGTTTCTTTGTATCTTGATTCTGCTTCTTGGGAGACGTCTTCACTTCATCTTCCAAATATTCTACTGATTCTTTTTTTTTTTACTTTGGTTTGCTATTTGCTTCTGTTATGCTCTGAATGATTTCTTTTGTTCTTTTCTTATTTTGCACATGCAGATGTCTCATCTGTCCAGAGATTTTTTTTTTTATGGTCTCTTCTCTCTGCATTTTCTCAAGTCAATCCTTTTCTCTTTCGTGAATTTTTTCCTCTTTTTTCTTCATTTCTGCTTCTTTTTTGGTTGTTGATATTACAGAATGTTCTTGAATGTCTGATTTTATTTAAGAATGAGGCAAGAAAAACTATTTGGAATGCAGTTAGTAGCAGATGGTTCACTGAGTAATGGTTTTAACTGTAGGATAATAACACTACTGTGCAGATTTTTCCTTGGTGGTTCCTCAATTGTCAGTATCTGTAGATCTTTTCCCAGAGGTATACTCTTCTGACTGCTACTGCTCAATGGAAGAAGTTTAGGACTGGTTTTCTGCAGTTTAGGGAAAACAAGGGTTTCACCACACAGTATGCAAACCTCATGTAATCACCATTTTCTTAGTAAAATGATGCATGACAGATGCCAGCTGTGCCGGGAGCCACTACTCCTGAAGCTTGTGGTACAACCTCTTCCAGATTTTCTGTCCTTTTTCTGCTCATTTCAGAAGGCAAAAAAAAAAAAAAAAAAAAAAATACATGGACAAGAAAATCAGGAATAGAAAGCTCAGTCTTGTTTCTATAAATTTTAAATCAATTCTTGTCCCTTTCTTTTCCAGCTCCCACTTTCTGAAGTCCTAGCAGCCTTAAATTTCTAAAAGATTGAGGATATTGTTTTCTTACTTCTGAGTTCCCCGCTGTAGCTTGGATTTCAGCTGCGCCTGTTAAATCCGTTTTCACAAGTGCATTCATTTTCCAGCGTCCTAAAATATGTCATCATCGCTCATCAGTTATTGTCTTCTTTCCCATTACTTTCATCCCCTGTGTGCTAATGCCATTTTTATTCATTATTCAGTTTATTTCTTTGTTTTAGGAGGTTTAAGAAGGAAATATGGATAAATGGATAGGTTCAATAGTCAGGTTTGCCAGGACAGTCTTTAGACAAGCAGGAAATCCAGGTCCCTCATGAAACATCACAAATGTTCCTTTGTAAATTGAATGAGATTTTTTTTCTAAAACAACTTTTGTTAACAAGAAACTGTTTACCATTTGAAGATTTTAAAGTTCTATGAGATTTCTAAGAACAACTCACAAAAAAATGAATTTAGTTTGATTAAGTGAACCAGACTATAACAAGCAAAAGCTAGGACTGAGACACATCCTCTGTTTCATCTGAGCTCATACTGAAAAACAAAAGATGAAATTCAGAATCATTCCATAGCTTTTCTCAAAAATATTCAAAGATACGTAAGCAATTCATAATGCATGGCACCATTTTCCAATTTCAGTAAGACTTGATATAAACAATGAAATATCCATAATCTATTCATAAACTATTCATAATGTTTTAAGATAATCATTTTATTTTAGAATATTTTTCAGATGTGACACAAATCAACAAATATATCCTCTCAAGTTATTTATTGAATTTACACCTTTTTGATATTTAGTAAACAAAGTTGAATGAGCTCTAAAGTTCAACAGTCAGGAAATTTTAATATTAGTGTTTATACTAGTTTTTAAAAGCTACATAGTCTTCTTAGAAAAGCATAATATATAACTAAAATGTAAATGGGATCTTTTCTAAAGAATGACCAAAGAAGCCCAAGGAGAGAAAAAAAATACAAATACCTGAAAAATAACTTATGGAAAATGAATCCCAGACAAGGAAATTCAAATATTCCTCCACTTACAAATATTTAAAGGAAGTATGCATTCATAAAAATATAATCACAGTGTATGAATCAGCTCTCATTCAATTTGTCTTTAAACTGTCCACCAATTGGATATTTAGAAACTGAGCCATTTATTTAAAAAAGTGGATTTTCAAAAATTATTCATACAGTTCCTAGATCTGGAACTTGGGTCTATTATTGGTGATTAGGCATATTTGGGAAATGGTATATTATAAGAACTCCGGTGGAACAGTAAAAACACTCAAAAATCTCAAAATACTCATTAAAAAAAATCACAGTATTTCACTGAAATCAGGAATTTGTTTGTGACTCACCTTATTGAATAAAGAACATTACCATTCTTGAAAATTCTTAACAATTTATTATCTGTAGTAACTTCATGAAAGTTGGCACCCTTTTCGTTGGCAAAGAACAAATCAGGTTTCCAAATGGAGTCCAACATGGAAGGGTCTAGGTCTAAAGAGTCATCAGGATATTCACTATATGCAAGGCGAGGATCATTCCATTTCTGACGCAGAAAGATATTCACTCTGTAATCCTGTGATAAAAGAAAGGGGGGAATCTGCTTTAAAAAGTTTAGAATCGTATGTGCTATTCTCTGGGTGCCTCTGAATTTCAGCAAAAGCCACTGACATCTTTGTGCTTTTCCTACCCTACAATCCTCACTCATTAATACTGACAAGAATCATTTTAGTTACAAGGCTTTGCCCACATTTTTAGTGATATATATGTCTCTAAAGAAAAGGTCACAGAAGAGTACAATTTTATTATGCTTATATTATGCCATTCCATGAAAATTTCACTTTCCTTGTTTGTCAGAATAAAATGTTGGATTGCTATTAGTTGAAGTAAAATCTCTTCAGCTTTGCATTTATTTCTAGAACCATTTATCTTAGTAGATATCCAACAGAATCCAGAATGCATTTAATGAAATTTTCTTGAAAGCTATCTATTTTATAAAACTGATTATATATACTTCTTTACAATGAAGACACATTTCCTCATGTTTAATATAGCATGTAAGTTCCATGAAACAGATGACTTAAAAAAATAAAAAGTGATTTTGAAATAATTAAAGAATAATAAAGGAACATTATTACCAGTAATCCTATTTATTTATTTATTTATTTATTTATTTATTTATTTATTTACCAGTAATCCTTTAAGAAGATTTAGCTAAAGAGTTTTTCCAATTAGACTATTCATAGTCAAACTAAAAAGGGAATAGTCAAAGATTTCAATCAAATTCTTGCTCACAATTTCTTGACTAACGTATATAATGACATAGATTCATAGTTGGGTGTACGTGTGGGTTTTGTACATAGTATATGAATATAAGCATTACCTATGACTGTATAAATACAATTTTCCCCTTAGATTTTCGAAATGAGTGAATAAATTAAACATGCAGACTTCATTATAAGCATGGATAAAGTGAATATTTTAGGAAGATTTTATTTCTATGGAAAATACTCAAGGCTGGACATACTCAAAGAAACGGAACAACAATTTTCATCTATTTTTTATTCCTTGAAAACCAAATTACCAGTTAACAGAATATAATGACCAACCAATCACAAAGAATGTTTCCATAGTATCAGGCCTGATAGACTGCTTCTCTTGCAGGGAGGTCAAATTCAGAGCAGTGAATGTTACAAATCTACATGTTGCCTTGATTATTATTTATGCAGAGATCCTTATCCTTTTTTAAGATTTATTTATTTATTTATGATAGACACACACAGAGAGAAGAGAGAGAGAGAGAGAGACAGAGACACAGGCAGAGGGAGAAGCAGGCTCCATGCCAGGAGCCCCATGCAGGACTTGACCCTGGGACTCCAGGATCGTGCCCTGGGCCAAAGGCAGGCGCCAAACTACTGAGTCACCCAGGGATCCCCAGATCCTTATCTTCTAACTGTAACTGAGATTACATACCAGACAACATTTTTTTTTCTGCTTGCTTAGGTGCCCCATGTATCTTCCAAAGTGACAATGGAACAGAGTTCACTTCAGCTTTTACCACAAAGTTCACGATAATGTGGATATCTCACCAGCCACAAGGATCTGCAGAACCTGTAAATGGGGATATGTGAACAAGCTTCTACCAGCCAGACAGGTCATCCTCTCTGAGCCTAGGGTTCAGAATGCCAAAAAGCATAGCTCCGTGGTTGGTGGCCAGTTCTTGCATCCCTTACTGATGACCTGTGCTGTAGGCCTAACTACCACCAAAGGGATAGATGACTCTCTCTACCTTAACTATAGGTGAAGATGGAAGCAACTCCAGTTATGAAGATGCCTGCCAAGAAACATAACTGACAAGTAAGGAATTTCCTTTGGATTGATTCTTAAGATATTATGTATATATAATTGAGAACATTCTGCAAGTGTTGCCCACTGTGAGGTTGAAATAAAAGTACTTTTAAGCTGTAACATATGTAATAAAATTTGGTTGAACCTCCTTATCCTATGCTATTGGTTTAATGTAAACTTTATAGACAGAATCTCAGATCTTCCAGGAATACTTTTTGCTCCAGGAATGAGCTAAAAAACTAAAACAAAAACAAAAACTACCCAGGTACCTTTCAGTTTCTGTTTCTAAATCATACAAGGCAGAAATCAACTATCACCTGTCACCAAGGCCAAATGTTATCTTGATCTATTGAGCTCTTTCTGTGAATAACGAGAATTATCTTTGCTTACTAACACATTTAGGTCTTTGGTTTAGGGCCAGAGTCCAAAGGAAAACTCAAAAATGACCATATCCTAAAAACCTAGACACAGGTTTTAACAGTTCTCACAGTTTGGGTTTTGATCTGCCTGCAAATGAACATTGTGCTGGGAAGTTTCCCTATTAAACAACCAAATTCAGCATTTTGAAAATAAATTTTTAGAGCTAATTCCTCATAGCCAATGTGTCCCATTTACACTAGGCAACCAATATTGTTTGTGAGTCCTGATCATTTGTGAAAATGTGCAAAGAAAAAGGTAAATAAAATGACATAGACAGTACCACCTAAAAGAAGTCCTTGTAACTTGATTTGAAATAACTTGCCTATACTAAAAGGCCATGAACTAAAGCAGGAAACAATTTTGTAAAATAGATAATGGATGTGTATGCAGCACATTACAAAAAATTTAAAATAGACTTATTAAAGTCAGTTTAAAATGTAATCATTCCTTGACTATACATAAAATAGAGACTAATATTTTTATTAAAGGAATGTTCCTTATTCACCTGGGCTATGCTCCTATAAGGGTGAAAATTTAGAAAGGTTATATGTAGTAAAAAAAAAAAAGACAATAATAAATGTGAGATAAGATATATGAAAATGAAATAAATAATTATATTTTACATTTCTAAAATCTAGACTTGTATTGAACTCATTCATAAGTCTTATAAGGCAATTGAATTGACTTTTATATGGAATCATAAAAGTTTAGGACAGAAACATTTAATAATTCTTTTACACACAAACTCCTTTTGCAGTAAAGCCTTCAAAAGTTAATCGTATTTTTCATCATTTTTTCACATTACAAAATAAACTGATTTGTAAGTATATGTTATACCATAAATCATATTGTACAGTAACAGTATAGCTATTATTTCATAATATAGAAAGACTAATTTTGACATTTCAGATGTCAAAATTTATTGTTATTATTAAAACAGAATGATACATTTTATTCTAATTACTTTAAATTAGCTTTGTAAGACAATATTTTGTTGACAGAGTAAAGTTATATATCCTGTTTGGTTTTGAAAGTAAGTATCCAAAAAAAAAAGAAAGTAAGTATCCATTACAATGTAGTTTAAGTTCCATCTCTTTGGCACACAGTAAATAATAGACCGTATATTTGAAGTTCTTACATTGTGAGTACAAAAAATAATAATTTAATTAGCCAACTTTCATAATGATTCAAAAACTAGACTCAGAAGTAAGTCTTCTTGGGATCAAATCTCAGCTCTTCAAAGTGAGACAGCTTTCCAATATCCCTATGTCTTGTTTTTTTCTTCTGTAAAATAGATATAGTATAATAGTACTTCCTTTCATGGGGGTACTATGAACATTGGATTGATCCACACAAAGCACTTAGAACTACACTCATTAAATATTAGCTTTTAGATCTTCAAAATTAAAATTCATATCAAATGGAAATTTGGTTGTACTTTCTGTTTATATTTTATTTTATTTTTTTTTCTGTTTATATTTTAAATAATGGGGCACTTTGATATGCCATGTAAGAATTTGGGACAGATAATTGTAATGTTGAACCTGGTGAATAATATCTTATGGAAAATTTTCAAACCAGTATGATAAACTTATTATTAATTTTTTGTAATGACTTTTGCGTTTCAACATTTATGTATTTTTGTATTTCTGGTCTTAATCCACCTGCCCCTCTTCCCCTTCTCACTATAGAATGGGTTTGTATTATAAAGCCCTTTTCCATAATGGTGAAGATAGTTGCTTATATTTCACTTTGTGCCAGATGTTATACTAGTTGCTTCATGGATTATTCCTCATAGCAAATTCATGAGAGGTGTTATTATTTACCCAGGTTTACAGATGTGGACTATGGGACGGAGATAGGCCAAGTAACTTCAACATGATTACAAAGCTAATAGGTGGCAGAGTTGTAATCAAGACCCATCAATTCTGGTTTCAGGGTTTTAAAGGATAGATACATTACTAGTACATCGCCTACTGCCATATATCACCAGTCATTATTGCTTTGTATGCAAAACAAATGTTTGTAAACTAATGCAAACATTCTAGGTTTATATGGTTTATGTTTATAAGGTTTTTTTTTCTTTTTTGTTTTTTGTAAGGAATTTGGGGGTTTACTGATCAACATGCTTACTGACGGGAAATTATACACCCTATGCCTAAATGTTATCCAGTTAAATCTAATAGATGCCAGGTTGCCATTTCTTTATAATAGGTATCCTGGGGAAAGACCAAATTTAGTAAAAATCACAGCCCAATGTAGCTCCTAAAATTACATAGAATATAATATTCATCTTTAGCTATATAGGGAGTATAGGATTGCTAGAATCTAACTAAAATGACTGATTAGGAAAAAACTATGGAAAAATAATCATCTAATGTTAATAAAAGTTGTTAAGTGCTTCTCATCCCTCTAGTCAAATTTAATCTAGTTAAATTTGAAGTTTCCTAGTGCTTTCAGGTCATTTCCAATCCAGCAGACATCTCCCACTTCTTCCTTTTCTCCCTGCCTTCTTACTTGTTTCTGCCCTGTCCTCTCCTTGCTTCTGTTTCTTTCTGTCTCTGTGTCTGTCTCTCTCTTTTCTCTTCCACCCATTCCCCCACTTCAATACATGTGCATATGCACTGCCTCTGTAGAACTAGCTGCCACATTTCAATACTGGTGATGTATGCAAGTGGTTTTCAACTGTGTCATTACAAAGTAAAGGAAGCAGGTCTCTACAACACTATCACTATTGGTATCTTGATGCCTTTTTCTTTTCTTTTCTTTATCCTACACATTTAATGTAGCTGAAATTATATTGCACAT